CCCCCCTCAAGATGGACATGAATATTTTTCATGTTCATCTTGGAAGTCGGGGCTGAAAACACAGGGTAACACAAAGGCTTGGTTAAGATGTCTGCAATCTGTTCTTGAGATGGTGTAGATACATAAAAATTGTGTCCAATCAAATCGCGCCACGTGAAAATTAATTTATTAAAAATCAAGTTATATTTTCTATTTATATTTTAGGAATTTCCACATATTTAATTCCTAAATTTAAATAGTTAATTAATTGATATTTTAATATTTTAATTCTTGACCAATCAAATAATGCCAAGTGTAATATCCTTATTCTTGGTAAATAAATCATATCTTCTAGAAGATCTTGGAAGATTTAAGTGGATCTAGAAGATCTTGGGAGATTTAAATAGATCTTAAAGATCTTATATGAATCATCATGGACCAATCAAATCGCGTCCTACGATTCTTAAATTTGGTAGGGTGCTCTCTCCTACACCTATAAATAGGGGCTCTCCCTAATGTCAAAGACACATCATAATTCATATTTTGAAGTTCAAGAGCTCTAGAGAATTTTCTCTACAAGTTTCAAGTGTTCTTGAAGATTCGAAGCCGTTCTTGAAGATTCGAAGGAAGATTCAAGCACATTCAAGCTCAACACCGACGTTTAATCCGGAAACAAGCTACCAAGCCTCCGAATTACGTTCATATTCAAGTTCAAGTTCAAGATCTCTCGACGAGATTCAAGTGTTCTTGAAGATTTAAAGGCGTTCTTGAAGATTCAAAGCAAGATTCAAGCGCGTTCAACCTCAAGACTAGCGTTCAATCTGGAAACAAGTTGTGAAGCCTCCGAATAACGTTAGTAAATTCAAAACCGGCATGAAGAAGATTCGAGATCTACTTTGCGGCGAAGACCAATGATTCGTGTTCTTCGCGTTCTTGGGATATTTTGACGTTTGATCCGGGAAAAAGCTTTCAAGCCCCCAGATTACGTTAATTCAAGTCAAATCAAGTCAAGGAGAAGATCAAGCCGAAGATTTCGCTCCAAGACTTAATATATTGTTTGTGAGAAGAATCAGAGGAATAATAGAGATTGTAACCCGCAATATTATTTTGATTCAAGAAATTCATTTGAATAATATTTTTCGTGTTTTTAAATTCAATACACGAAATTTGTTGTTACAGATGGTATGTGAGATACTGATATGATGCCATTGGAGATCTTCTCTCTGA